AAGCATAATACTCCATAGTGTATACGGACCACATCTTCCTTATCCATTCGTCTTTTGAAGGGCATCTTGGTTCTTTCCACAGTTTGGTGACCATGGCCATTGCTGCTATGAACATTGGGGTACAGATGGCCCTTCTTTTCACTACATCTGTATCTTCGGGGTAAATACCCTGTAGTGCAATTGCAGGGTCATAGGGAAGCTCTATTTTTAATTTCTTAAGGAATCTCCACACTGTTCTCCAAATTGGCTGCACCAACTTGCATTCCCACTAATAGTGTAAGAGGGTTCCCCTTTCTCCACATCCTTTCCAACACACGTTGTTTCCTGTCTTGTTAATTTTGGCCATTCTAACTGGTGTAAGGTGGTATCTCAATGTGGTTTTAATTTGAATCTCCCTGATGGCTAGTAATGATGAACATTTTTTCATGTGTCTGATAGCCATTTGCGTGTCTTCATTGGAGAAGTGTCTGTTCATGTCTTCTGCCCATTTTTTGACATGATTATCTGTTTTGTGTGTGTTGAGTTTGAGAAGTTCTTTATAGATCCTGGATATCAGCCTTTTGTCTGTACTGTCATTTGCAAATATCTTCTCCCATTCCGTGGGTTGCCTCTTTGTTTTGTTGAATGTTTCCTTTGCTGTGCAGCAGCTTTTGATCTTGATAAATTCCCAAAAGTTCATTTTCGCTTTTGCTTCCTTTGCCTTTGGCGACATATCTTGAAAGAAGTTGCTGTGGCTGATATCGAAGAGGTTACTGCCTGTGTTCTCCTCTAGGATTCTGATGGATTCCTTTCTCACATTGAGGTCTTTTATCTATTTCGAGTTTATCTCGAATGGTGAAGTTTCATTCTTCTACATATAGCTGTCTGATTTTCCCAGCACCATTTATTGAAGAGACTGTCTTGTTTCCACTGTATATTTTTTCCTGCTTTGTCAAAGATTATTTGCCCATAGAGTTGAGGGTCGATATCTGGGCTCTCTACTCTGTTCCACTGGTCTATGTGTCTGTTTTTATGCCAGTACCATGCTGTCTTGGTGATCACAGCTTTGTAGTAAAGCTTGAAATCAGGCAACGTGATGCCACCAGTTTTGTTTTTCTTTTTCAACATTTCCTTAGCAATTCGGGGTCTCTTCTGATTCCATAAATTTTAGGATTATTTGTTCCAGCTCTTTGAAAAATACTGGTGGAATTTTGATCAGAATGGCATTAAAAGTATAGATTGCTCTAGGCAGTATAGACATTTTAACAATGTTTATTCTTCCGATCCAAGAGCATGGAATGGTCTTCCATCTTTTTGTGTCTTCTTCGATTTCTTTCGTAAGTGTTTTATAGTTCCTCGAGTACAGATGGAGGTTTATTCCCAGGTATCTTATGGTTCTTGGTGCTATAGTAAATGGAATCGATTCTCTAATTTCCCTTTCTGTGTTTTCATTGTTAGTGTATAAGAAAGCATCTGATTTCTGTACATTGACTTTGTATCCTGCCACATTACTGAATTGCTATATGAGTTCTAGCAACAGCAATCAGACAACAAAGAGAAATAAAAGGTATCCCAATTGGCAATGAAGAAGTCAAACTCTCTCTCTTCGCAGATGACATTGTACTTTATATGGAAAACCCAAAAGACTCCACCCCCAAACTAAATTTTTTAATTTATTTGCATACAGTTTTGCAAAATAACTTTTTAAGATTTTTTTTAACTTCTTGCATATCTATAGTTACCTTCCCTTATTGTTTCATACTTTGTATATCTGTGTTTGTTCCCTTTTGATTAAACCAACTAATGGTTTATTTTATTTTTTACAGGAACCAGGATTTTCATTCATTAATTTGATCTAGTGTTTTGCTGTTCTCTACTTGATCAGTTTCCGTTCCCATCTTTATTCTAGCTTTATTATTTCCCTCCTGTATGTTCTATTCATTTGCTTTGTTGTTCTTTTTCTTGTTTTTTGAATTAAAAACTTAGTTGGTGTACAGTTGGCTTTGAACAACACAGGTATGAACTGCATGGGTCCACTTACACGAGGATTTTTTTGCTTCAGGACAATACTGTAGGTGTATTTTCTCTTCCTTAAGATTTTCTTTTCTTCTTTTTTAAAGATTTTATTTATTCATTTGACAGACAGAGATCACAAGTAGGCAGAGAAGCAGGCAGAGAGAGAGGAGGAAGCTGGCTCCCCACTGAGCAGAGAGCCCGATCCGGGGCTTGATCCCAGGACCCTGGGATCATGACCTGAGCCAAAGGCAGAGGCTTTAACCCACTGAGCCACCCAGGTGCCCACTTATGATTTTCTTAATAACATTTTTTCCCATAACTTACTCTATTGTAAAAATACAGTATATGATACACGTAACATGAGGACTATGTGTTGATTGGTCATGGGTAAGACTTCCTGTCAACAAGAGACTATTAGTAGTCAAGGTTGGGGGTGGGTCAGAAGTTAAATGTGGATTTTCGACTGTGCAGGGGATCAGCACCCCTAGCCCCTGTCTTGTTCAAGGGCCAACTGTACTTTTGTTCTTTTGTTATTATTAATATAAGTGCTTAAGGTTATGAAGTTTCCTCACTGCTTTAAATGTAATCCACTGGGTCTGACATGCAATGTTTTCAGTAGAAGTTACATAATTTCTCTTTTTATTTTTCTTCACCCAAAAGTCGTCTAAAAGAAATGTTTTTGTTTTATTTCTAGGTAGATGGGGTGTGGTTTGGGTTTTTTTGTATTCTGTTTTTTGTGAGGGAGTGCTTTGGTTTTAACTTTTAGTTGTCTTGCACTGTGATCAGAATGTTATTTTAATATTTCTGCTTTGTGCAAACTTTTGATGTTTTCTGTGTGTCCTAATGTATGATGGGTTATTGTGAGTGTGCTGTATGTACTCAGGAAGAAAGTATTTTCCCTATCATCAGAGCATGGTTTTGATATGTGTCCGTAATACCTATTGATTGATTATGCTGTTTGGATCTTATCACATTTTGGGAAGAAGCAGGTTCCAGGAGAGTTTAATGCGGCTTTGTCAGACAACTCTTGACTCTGGACAGCACTAAGGACAGGTGACCCGCATGCTTGGTTGTGGTTGCCCTGCTCTAAAACGCTCACTCCTTCCCTCCCCGCAGCTGCCATCAAAAGGTCTGTCTGACCCCTTTTCACAGATGGCCCCGGACAAGAAACAAGGAAAATCAGCCCCTGCACGTTTTTCAGCAGTGTCTTTGCTAAGCAGGCTTGGAGCACCCTATAGGATTTCCCAAATAAAGGGAGGGAGGAGGGACAGTGACCTAGGAGTTGACATATAGTTGTCCTGAGCATGAATGCATGTTGGCTTTTTGCTTCATATCTAAATAAAGCAGTTAATGATATCAAGCTCAAGGGTGAGATAAACAAGTGGGCAAAATACCTTAACACAGTGGAAACACCACAAAGGATACATTGGTATTTAGAAATCACGTGGTAAAAATTAGCAAACTCTCGGACGCCAGTGAACATGGTGAAGTGGGCATCCCTGAGGGTCTGTCCGCCAAGCAGAAACATCAAAAAATCAAGCAAACGTTGCCAGAACCAACTTTGTCAGGACTCTGGAAAGCAGTCAACAATTGACAGAACCAAGGAAATGCTGAGTCAAGAAAAAGGCAACTGCAGGAGAGCAACTGTGGGAGAGCTCCGTGGCCTTTGCCCTTAGCGCACCGCCGCGCAGGGCCCAGGGCCTGCTTTCAGAGCCCTTGTGTGCAGAGCTCTGCGTCTAGTCTGTTCAAACCTGGGGACTGCCCGAAGGACTGACAATGGGCACGGTTTCTCCTAACTCAGAACTCCCTTGGAACAGACAAGCCAGGGCGTTGCGGGAAGGCACCGTGAGGTGGATGGCATGAAACCACTTATGGTGTGGGATGACAGGCAAGGCAGATACCCGGGCTCAGAAAGCTTGCAGGGGAACAGCTGGGGAAAGCTTCTGGGGGACCAGTGCTGGGCGGCCCTGTCAGTGGAGCGTCTGACTCTTGATTTCAGCTCAGGTTGTGATTTCTGGGTCATGGGATTGAGCCCCGATGATCAGGCTCCACACTCAATGGGGAGTCTGCTGGAGATCATGTCTCCCTCTCCCTCTGCCCATCCCACTCATGCACACACACACTCTCTCTCTCCCCCTCCCTCCAGAGTAAATAAATAAATCTTAAAAAAAAAAACAAAAAAACTCCCTGGCCCCTTGAAGCCGCCCGTGTCCAGCAGGAGGTTGAGAGAGCAACACACATGCCCGGGGCAGCTCGCACACAGGGAGAAGGCCCAAGAAGACCCCAGGCTTGCTCGGGGCTGGTGTCTAGGCCCAGTGCCTGCCGGAAGTGGAGGCTCTGGCAGCGCTGCTCACGGCCCAGAACTGAGTGACCCACAAAGATTGGGACAGGTTCCCTTTTCCTTTTCTGTTTCCCTCCTGGATCTGAAGTGCCCACGCAGTCAGCAATCCCTGTGCCCCTGAGCCACACGGCTGCATGCATGCGGTCGGCAGGAAGGAGAAGCTCTGGGCGCCCAGCAGCCCTTGGGTGGTTCCCACATCTGGCTCTACCCTCTGCAGACTGCGCCTTCAGGAGCTGAGAGCAGCAGCCTCAGGGCGGGCTCACCCACCTGCCCTTCCATCTCTGCAAGGCGAGGCTGACGCTGCCCCTCTAGCCTTCTCCGCCCACAGCGGCGTCCTCAGGGCTCCTGGGCCCAGGCGCGCCAGCACTGGGAGCGGGCTTTCCTCAGGTTGGGTTGTACTCCTTTGGTGAAAGCACTTTTTGTTTTTGGTGTGCAACACGTGGGAGTGTGGCCAGCTTGCACCCGCTAGGCCTCCACTTCAGCCTCTGCACGGAGAACCAGTGAGCAAAGGCGCAGGTGTTGGACCCCCCTCCCCATGGACAGGTTTGAAATGGTTAAGGGCCTGCAGAGAAAGAGCTGGTGGGTGGTGTGCAGCTTGGACGCCATGGCCCCCTCTGCAGACATGACACCGATGGGCCTGACCACACGCCATGTTTCCACGCAGGAAGGACATTCCCCCAGAGCGAGTGACGCACGCAGACAGAGAGCAGACCAAGAAGGTGGTGTACTCAGCGGTCTATGGAGCAGGTAGGCTGCGGGCCGGTCTCGGTGTCACCTGTAGGCCAGATGGAGCTGGTTCTTATCCCATGTCTGTGTTTAAATATGGCTGTGCCTTAGAGAGATCGTTCTTGGCCCCCGGAGCTCACTTTTGTGAGTTTCTGAGTGTCTTTTACAAAAGGCTGAGGACATCTGGGATGCACTAGAAACCAGTCAGACCACTGACAGCCATCAGCTCCCTCAGTGTCCCACTGGCTGAGAGAACAGAGGCACAAAAGTGAATGGAGACCACAGTTGACCAGCTGGGAGGGACAGGACAGGGCCGAAGCCCAAGGGTATAGCCCCACCCCTACCTGATACGGCCGTGCTGGGGGGCCATCTCTGGGCTGTGAGATGCTACCTCATCCTGACCCTGACCTCCACCCCACCACCCAGGACCTGAGGCAGAGCTGGTCTTCAGCTCCCTCCCACCGTCCCTCCCTCTCCCTCCAACCTCCTGACCGTGGCTTCATAAATTCTGTTTAAACTCTTTTCTCCCTCTACATCATGCTGAACCAGTGGGATATCACGTCCCCTCAGGACAACAAGGGAGAGGATGAAAAGGGGCTGTGGGCCAGCCAGCCCTCCTGAAGGAAGGGTCCATCTGGCTGTTGGCTGGCCTGTGCCAACCGCCTTCTTTGGATCAGTCCTGTCTGGGCAACAAGGCTCTTGCAAAGTCACCAAGAGCAGAATTCATCTCCCTGCCACGGAGACCCTTTGTTCATTTAAGGAAAGCCAGCAAAAGGGGATCAGCTTCCAGTGCAAGAACATCGGGGCAGACATGTCGTCGATTATCTGTCAGACCCACCTTGTACTTCAGCAATGTGACCTTGGTGCTGGGGCATGAGCGACTTGCATACAACGGGTCTGGAATGTGCCTCCCACCACCCAGCCTGGCTCCCAGCCCAGGCCCTGAACCGGCGCCGCTTCCTCTGCTGGACCCCTGTCCACAGAGCTCACCCTCACGCCTTCCTCTTGGCTCTGCTGTCCCCTTCTCGGCCGTCCCTGACTGCTGTATCAGTGATCCATTTCCAGGTAACACACTCATGGTCACCCAGCATCGGTGGGTATCAGGGGCCATGGTCTCACGGGCAGCTCCACCAAGGAGCACGTTAGCAGCCCTCGGGCCTTGCCGCAAGGGCCCCCCAGTGTAGGCAGAGCTACTGCCCGTGTTCTTCAGAGCCGGCCCCACAGTGCTACATGCTTCCTAGTGGTCCCAAGTCTGTGTGACCGTCACTGTGCCGCTGCTCAGACGCAGGTCTGCCCACCCCCCAGGGGAGGGTCACTGGAGGGCGTGAAGACCTGGAGGCAGGACCACGGAGGCCACTCAAGAGTCTTTCTGCCACACACCACTTTCTAAGCTTGGGTCCCCAGCCCCGAACAGCGCCTGTCTCACCCTCCTCCATGAAGCACCCTGCTTCTCCCGGAGCACTGCTCATTCTTCCAGCCCAAGGAACCCCGTGAAGCAGGAGCTCTTCTGGCTCTGCCCATGGCCAGGCACATAGCAGGCACACCATAAATACTGCACAAACTCATGAACTGCATAGTCTTTTGACCCTACTTGTGCATACATTCTATGTACAGTTTTTGGGAAACAGGCTAAGAAACTGAAAGACTTGAACTCAGTGGGTGAGAGCAGGGTGACTCAGACTCACTCAGTCTGGCTCCTCGGCTCGGCCTCCCTCTGCGGTGCTCCAGAACCTTCTAGATCACTGTCGGGGGTGGGGGGCGGGGGAGGGCAGCCTGCCACCCAGTTATATTAGATCCCGGTGCCGCAAGTCCTCGATCCAGGCTCTGCGGGCAGAATGTTGCCTCCAATTCCTGGCAGGCAGCCTGGGCTGGAGTCCTAAGTCTGTCCCTCTGGGGTTGGTGACCTTCTGCAGAGACTTCCACCTCCGTGCTCCAGTCACCTCCCAGTCGGGGAGGAGCTGGCTCCTTCACTGGTGCCTGGCACCAGCCGGCTCTCATCTTTGGCCTCAGCCACCACACCGGCACCCAGACTGGGCACCAGGTGACGGGCATCCATGTGCGGGGAAGGGAAGGGGTGGCGGGGGGGGGGGCTCCACCTTGGCTGGGCACTCATGGGGGCAGGAGCACAGAGGGCCCTCAGAGCAGCTTCACGCCGATGGCAGGATGCACCCAACAGCAGTTTGGCACTTTCTGGACCATGCACTCTATTTTTTGCTGGAGAGGAAAGAGCTCCACTTGGTAAATAAGCAGTGAGTCATTAGCCGTGATGTTGGTGAAAAGAGTAATTTGGCTGCTTTTAGCCCGGATGGTGACAGTGTTCCCACCCTGAGCCTCTGTTTCTGCTATTCCTGCTGTCACTGGCCCGCTCAAGAGGAGACTGCCATGCCTCTGCTGCTGTCTGCACAGGGCTGGGTTGTCCTCCCCACGGGCAAACCCGTCGGGTCTCCTTGTCTGCTGGGAGCCCTCTGGAAACGCAGCCCAGACGCTTCCCACCAGCTGGCTTTCGTGGTTGCAATGATGTGTTTTCACGGGGGGTCTGGAAGCTGCTGCTCCCAATGCTGGGGGCACCAGCTGGGTCGGAATGATCGGCATGAGGACCACAGTGAAAGACAGCCGAGGAGAAGCAGGACTGTGACGCAAGCAAAGAAGGCGCTCCGGAGGGACTTCACATCTGGGCAGCCTCACTGCAGCCCACGGGCAGGACAGCCTGGTCCCCACAACTCCCCCAGACTCTGCCAGGAGGGCCATCCCTTCCAGAATGGTGGTGACCACAGAGACACAGTTCCCCAGGGATCTCACGCAAAGGGGGACCTGCCGGCTCACTGCCCTTCCCTCAGCCACCTGCCAGCTAACAGTGCACACTAGCCCTGTCCTGCTCACGACCCCTCTGAGCCCATCCAGATGCACAGCCTCCAGGAGGCCCCTTCTGACTCCTCCAGTCTTGCTCTGAGCTCCTCCTGCTCCTGGAGTCCACTTACCCCTTGATTCTCCTCAAGGTGTTCAGCGTTTAAGTTTGCCTCCACATCCAATCACATTCAATCAGCAGGCACCCCCTGCTCCCAGAGGCTGACATTTGTCACCAGAGATGTGCAAGTGGGCCCAGGAGGATGGCACTGAGTGACTAGTGCACGTGCCCCAGAATCTCTGCTGCCAAGGAGGGCCGGGAGAGGCGGGCCAGGCTGCCAGTTCGGAAGGACACAGAGAGTTAGTTGGGTCTGCTCTGATCAGACCAGCCGGCCCCCCGGAGGCCATGGTGTGCCCTGCGCTCATGAGGCCCCAGAGCTGCAGACAAGAGGGAGAAACTATTAGAAATCATGCGAGGGACAAAAAAACACTTGGAGAAAAGGGAATGGGGATCGTCTTCCTGAAGCTAACGGTGTAACACAGCAGCCCCTGGTGTTAAGGTGTAATCAGCCGTCTGTGGGGCAAGGCCCATGGCGTGTCCATCTAGGATTTCAGAGCTGAAGAATGCTGCTGCTGCCCCCAGAGGATGCTTGCTTTCAGGGGGACAAGCCTGCCTGTGATTACAACTCAAAAACCCCAACATGTGAACCAAAGCACGGAGGACAGTTGTGTGAAAGGGACCAGTCTCTGTGAAGCATGGAACACAAGCCCGCATGGCATCAATGGCCATCCTGCCTGGGGGGTCTCTGAGTGTGACAGGCCCATGGGGAGGGCGCGGGAACAGGGATCAGAGAACGGGCCAGGCCCTCCATCTTTTTCCCAGGCTCCGTCTTCTTCTTTAGCAGTTGCTGCGTTATTTGTTCCTCTGGTAAACAGGCATTTTCAAGTACAAGGCCTCAGCCAATCACTGCCCTTCAGATCTCCCAACATCTCTACCTAATACAGCAAAGGAATCCTTTCTGGGCCACACGTACTGAGGAGGAGGAGTATGACATGTGTAATGGCCAAGTAGGCCCCAGCAGATTCCTTTCCCACAGGAATCAACTATAAATTATGGAAAATATTTAATAAAAAACTCTAGAAAGGTACTGAAAAGTGACTTTCAGGAGGAATGGTTCAGGCTGAGTTCCCCTTTTTATAGCTCCTCACTGAAGACAGGCCTTGGTCAGTGTGCTGGGTAGCTAACCCTCCAAGAGAAATGCATAGTCTCACTTCCCTGAGGAAACAGAAGACAGAGTTTGAAGCAACCAGAGAATCTGGAAAGTGAGGGAGAAATTCCAGAAAAAAGAGAGCCAAAGGAGCCAAAGAACACCAAATTCTGGGTATGAACTCTGCCCAAACCTTTGGCGACCCCTGGGCAGGCTTCAGACTTAGCCCAACTAAGGCTAAAGGGACTGTTCTGAGATTTCAGCTGCTTCCCACTGCAGAGGGGCAGAGTTCAAAGTTTGACTTCAGCCACATTAACTCCCTCCTTTTAAAAAAAAATCAATACTCCTTAAAAAAATAAAGAATCCAGAGTGTCCACAATATTTCACTCACAATATCTAGGATTTAATCCCAAATTACTACACATAGGAAGAAATGGGATATTTTGACCCACACTCAAAAGAAAAGGCCATGATAGAAGCAAATCCTGAGATGACCCAGATGTTGAAATGAGCAGACAAGGATTTTAAAGCCATTATTACAACTATGCCAAAGGAGATAAAGGAAAACATGCCCCTAATGAATGAAAATAAAAGGAAATCTCAGAAAATAGAAAGAACCAAACGGAAATTCTAAAACTGAGAACTACAATGTTGGAAATAAAACACTGATTCGGCTTACCAGTAAATTAGACTTGAGAAAGGACTTAGCTGAGAAGACTCAGGGTTCCACTGAGCCAGATGGGCTGGAGGGGTCTAACCACCATCTGATTCCTTTCTGAAAGCCAATGGAGGTTTCCACTAGAGTGATGTAGCAGAGGGGCAGGGATTGGAATGTCCTAGAAACAAAGACTTAGAGACGGATCATTTCAGTGGTCGGTATTCATGAAGTTATCACATGGTCTTTAATTAAGCCCTAATAGAGAAATTGGAGTTTTTTTGTTTCTGTCCGAATGGCATGGGATAATTTGGCAAGCTTGGTGAGAACAAGGACAGAGGGCTCCAAGAACTCTCTTTGCCAGGAGAGACTCTGGGGAGCACAGCCTTTCCCATTCTCCCTAGCCAAGCAGTGGAAGCAAACATCTATCTGCCCCTTCACTCTCCCAAGATGGGAACAGTTTTTGTCCAGACTCCTAGAAGTATCGGCCAGCTCAGGCTAAAGAGAAGATTGGATCTGAGCTCAGTCAGTCCCTTCAGAGGTGTCCCCTTAACAACCTCTGAGGTAAGGACTAGTGTTCTTGAGTCATAGGTGAAGAAACAGAATTGATCGCAGGTCTTGTAACTTCCTCAAGGCCAGATGGAGCCAATTGTGGGTGACAGAGCTGGACTCAGACCCAGGTCTGTGTGACCTCAGCATCTGCTCCCTGCAGGCTGGGCTGGGCCTCAGGGTGCTGTCCTGACCAGAGATTCTGCTCTAAAAAACCTCACAAGAACACCTGCATCCTCCAGGAAACAAATACTGGTCTGGACCAGAAGCGTTGGTCTCAAAATGAAGATTTCAAGGATGCAAGCTCCAGTCCATTTTCTCACAATTTGACAATGAAACTTTCCCTTCCTCTTTTCCTCTGGGCCTTTCTCTGGTGTTGCCCAGTTCTGGAGTCAGCTCTCCCTCTGGACAGGCTGAGAGACATTAGTCATGGTTTTACCCACCTGCCTGCCAGCCGCTCGGCTAATATCGGTGAGTGAATAGACGTCTAACTGTTACCAGTCTAGGCAAAGGGCACTGAGCCCTCAGCCAGAAAGCCAGAGCCAACACCATCCTGACTGATCAGAAGAGACAAGTGGGGCCAGTGGGCCCTGAACTCACAGTGTCTTCCAAGGGCCCTTCTGTAGTGGTGGCTGCTGCCTAGCAGCTTGGCTGCTGGTCCCCACAGGTGTGAGCTGGCCCCTGATCTTGAGCATTTCTGTCCACACAGGGAAGGAGCGGCTTGCTGCTTGCCTTGGAGTTACTGTGCAAGAGGCTGCCCTGTTCTTGGAGACTTTTTTACAGAAGTACAAGAAAATCAAGGACTTTGTCCAAACAACCATTGCCCAGTGCCGCCAGACAGGTGAGCCAGACACAGCTAAAGCATTTGCAGGCCCCTCTTCCCCTCCCTGCTGACCTACGGCCGCCCCTGGTCTGCTAGCCCTGCTTCCATGGTGGGTGGCAGGCCGATGGGTGGGGACAGGGTGAGCAGAAAATGGGACCCTAGGCTCCAGGGTGAGAAGGGTCCAGAGCCAGGGTCTGCTTGAGGGAATCTCGCGTCAGAAAATGATGGATGAACAGCTAGAGATACAGGCCTGCACCTAGAAGTGAAGAATATATGTTCTTACGAAAAGCACATGGTATATTTACAAAATTTCACCACAATTTGGTCACAAATTTCAAAGAACATCAGTTAGCACATGCTGAGTGACCACAGGGGAATGCAAAGATAGCTCAGATCCAAATGTACAGCCAGCCTTCGGCCTGCTTAGGAACAGATCACACTTCTTCAGGATTTAGAGTCAGAAGACGTCCTGAGAACATTACAAACATCTCAGAAATAAATGACAGTGAGAGGATCTCCCATGAAAACTGGGGCATGGCCCCACCGAGCCTTCACTTAGAAGTGCAGGAATAGTTTAAAAGCATATTTTAAAAAGCAGAAAAAGAAATTTGTGAACAGAAATGGGTTGTATTCAACCCTAGACATTTGGAAAAGAGCAGCACAGTGAAATGAAGCAGGGAGAGGTGGCAGGAGCAGGAATTCATGAAGCAGGCCACAGGGAAGCAGGCAACACCAGGTAGAAAGGGGCCTTTGTGCTACTAAGGGGGGAGCGGCGGCAGCCCATTGGGGCCAGCCTTCCTAGTGGCTGTGGTGCACTCCCTCAGGGTCTGGGCTGTCCCAGCTCTGCCAGGCCCACTGGCCACCTTCTTCTCTGGAGCCCCCGGCGGCCCTTCCCCAGGCGCCTTCTGACCGTGCATCCAGGCACCAGCCCCAAGGCAGGTCCCCCATGGGCCCTGACTTCATGCAGCGCCCAGCTCCCTGCAGCCTTGGTGCAGGGCACAGAAAGCCAGCAACCTGCTCCCACCCCCAGCTGGTGTCGAACAGGCCTCAGGCTCCCTGGACCTAGGGCTCGAGCCTCCACCTAGGACCACCTGCACCCTAACCTGCTCGGAAACGTTAGAAGAGGGGTAGAGTGTGGAGTTAGAATCGTTGTGGGCAGAGGACAGTGAAGGTGCAGCAGGCTTTCCGTGGCTCTCCATAAAGAAACTCGTGGAATCCTCACTGCAGTTCTTACATTGGCAGTCTCCTTGCCCAATTTACAGACGGAGGAAGTGAGTCACCAAGAGGTTAAGGTAAGTGGCTTCTGAAGCTCACACAGCTACCAGGTGGCAGCGGGCTGGGACCCTCCACGGGCAGCACCAGCTGGAGCCAGCACGCTCCCCTGCATGCCTCTGCCTCCCTCCCTCATCCTCAGTTCCTGAAGGGCTGTGTGTGGGTCTGTGTGCTCTTCAACACAGCTGCTACACTTCTGGGTAAACACTGTGAAGAAATCTTCAAATGATCATTAAAGTCTCCGACACACAGAGGTCAAGGGCCAGACAGCATATGAGCTCCTCACTGTCTCTGGGCCACAGCTCAAGAGCCACGATAACCCATGAGTAAGCAAGTACATGCAGACAGTGTCAGAAAGATGGCATCGTAGGGGTGAGGAGCCAGCAGATGGGATTGTAGGGGTGAGAGGAGCCAGCAGACAGGATTGTAGGGGTGAGAGGAGCCAGCAGACGGCACTGTAGGGGTGGGAGGAGCCAGCAGACGCACTGTAGGGGTGAAAGGAGCCAGAAGACGGGATTGTAGGGGCAATAGGAGCCAGCGCAGTGCCAATGCAGGGAGTGGTGGAGGGAGGCCCCTGGAGAGCACCGTGCACCCTGGCCTTGCTGGGATGAAGTCTGAGCCACCACAGGCCTGGCCAGAAAGGCCTGGAGCAGCGCAGGGGTGCACAGGCAGGCCAGGGTAGCCCAGAGGCCAGAGAGAAGGCTGGCAGGCCCAGATCCTGGGGGGCACACCACCGGCCACAGGAAGAACCCGGGGTTTGTTTTGCATAAATCAGTTCACAAGCGTGGGAGAAAGATTGGCAGGGGAGGCCAAAGTGTGAGCTGGAGCCTCGGGAGCCGTCTGAAGGCATGGGGCCTCCAGCCAACATCTGAGGAGCACTGGATGGAGAGTGCGGTCAAGAGATGCCAAAGAGGCAACACGGACCGCAGACTCGAGGGGGGCCCGGGCCCCCAGGCGTGGAGCTCTCCATGTAGGCATGCCCGCCCTGCTGGGTCTGGAGCAGATGGACCAGGCTACTGTGAGCAGGAGGCCCAGGTCCCTTCCAAGGCCTCGGGGAGAGGCCCTGCAGGTGTTCATGTGATCTGCTCCTTTGTGCAGTTGATGAAAGCAGGATGGAGAGGCTGCCTCTTCCACCCAGGCTGGGACAGCAGCTGGTCTGGGAGTCCAGCTGAGGGGAAGCTAGGTCAGCGACCCATTTAATTCAGATTTCAGGGCAGAGATTTCTGCGATCTCTCCCTCCGTCCCTGTGTGATTGAGGGCCACTGGCTGTGCTGGCCCAGGAATGGCTTCGAAGAGCATTCCTTCCATCCCCTGGCCCACTTCCTAAGCACAGTGACATGAAGTGAGGGCTGGGGGTCACCTCACAGTGTGGCCGGGAGCGATGAGCCCAGCCCTGCGAGCACTGGGTGAAGCAGAAGCAAGATTTGGAGTGTGTGGAGGCAGGGACTTCAACTTAGGGCCACACTGAGCTCAGACTTTCCTCCCACAATAAACAACTTGAAAGCTGGACAAATGCATGGGACAGCTGTTTCAGACACTGGATCATGGGCGGTGCCCTCCTCTTTCCATTAGAGCCTCTGAGCAGCCCAAGCACATGCAGGAAGGGAGCCCAAGCAGATTATGACGTCTCACTAAGTGAAGGGGATAGGATCAGGATGGGAGACGCACGGAACCAGAGAGCAGGGAGCCCAGCGGAAAAGGCAGTGCACCAATCTGGAGAGGAACACCTCTGGTTTTGAGAACCGGGACACACACACTGAGTGGGGAACCCTACACGATGAAGCAGAGTGATTTCTGGAAGCAGTAGGTTGGATCGTTTCAGAGTCCATACAGCGCTAGCTGTGTGCGTTCTGACCTTCGGAGTGGACAGTCCTAATGGGACATCTGCGACGGGCAGGAGAGAGCCAAGAAGAGACCCACCCTAGTCTTGGGTCTGAACTGGCCCCGGTTAAAGGCTCCTCCAAACCTGCCCCGACGAAGCTTAAACACAGGCCTCAGAGGCAGCAGATGACCTGCTAGTGATGGGCCCGCCAAACACCCTTGAAAGGAAGGCAGCAGAGCTGATGCTTGGCAGCAAAGACACACAGCACGCAGCCTCCAGCCCAGAACCACGAACCACGCGAAGAGGCAGAGACTGAGTAATTCAGGTTGAGGCAAGGGCTCTCCCTGTCCTCACTGCCCATCCTGCTTAGGAGACTTGATGTTACCACCTGGCATGCAGCAGATGTCCCGTATGCTGTCATTTCTGTAATTGTGACATGCATGTGAAAGTCTTCCCTTCCTCAGACGTGTGAGATCCTGAGTGCGGATTCAGTCTCACGAGCACCTCAGAGAACACAGGTCCTCACGGTCAGGAAAATACTCACCCAGCACAGCGTATTTGTGTCCGTCTTCTTCAGGAGGACCTCGGGCAGGCGGTCAAGCTTCTCAGGTGGTAACCTCAGTGTCCTGAGATGGAGCCCCATGGTGGGGTCCACAAAAGAGAAAGAAAAGAAGAGGACTGCAAAATTATGACACTTCAGGCCCCACAAAACTTGGGTCTATCCTCGTGGGAGCAGGGCCGCTCCCTCCTTGAGTAGAAGGTAGACGAATGCTTTCTCCCCATCTCGGCTGCTGCCTGGACCAGAAGGACTTCTGCACCTGAGCAGCACAAGTGGCCTTTCTTAGCCTTTACAAACTGCCCTCCCCTGACCTCTGTCAGCTGTGGCTGCAGCCGGAAGTCAGGAGGGAGAGCCGCCACGAGGCTGCTCTGCTTCCCACCACGAACCCACTCGCCCCCAAGACAGATGGGGCAGCCAGTGAGCAGAGCTCCCCACCGCGCTCGGGCTCAGTGCTACAGTGAGGAGGGGTCCTGCCGGGCCCCTGGACCCTGGGTGGGGGAGGCCGTGCCCACAGAGGCTAGGTGAGCACCAGGGCGCTGCACAGCCTTTTTATCTCTGCCTCGTGTCCTCTTCTCCCTCACATGACCCAGGCTACGTGGCATCCATCATGGGCAGAAGGAGACTGCTGCCACGGGTCCACGCACACGACCAGCAGCTGCGGGCGCAAGCTGAGAGGCAGGCCGTGAACTTCGCGGTGCAAGGTATGCAGAGCCCCTCGGGCCACCTGCCGTGGTTTCTCAGGCACCACAGGGCTGAGTGACACCCCCAGATTATCGGGGTGCCAGTCCCTGCTCCTGTGCTCCCTGGCCATCATGGGGGAGGCCCAAGCAAAATAACACTTGGTGCTCAGTGGGCGCTCAGGACTTGGGGGCTTTTCCGGCAGGCAACACCATCCCGACCTCTGGCTTTTGGACCTTAGGCTTTTGGAGTTTCCCTGGCCAGGACAAGGGCGAGATCTGGAGCTCAGTCGCTGCACTCTTGGCCTGGGGCTTTCGGTCCTGCCTGTCATGTCTGGCAGGGGTAAGACCTTGCAGCAAGGCCTCCAAGACCCAGCAGGCCCACGGTCCTCAGTGGCAGGCAGCTGGGAGGCCCGAGGGCACGCGGTCTGCCCTGGTCATGAAGACTCTTCTGTCATCTCTAGCCACAGCCCCCAGTAGCTCACATCTCTGCATAGAGGTGGAGAGGGAGAGCGATAATCACAGGCTCCACACACCATGGGCCACAAGCTGTCCAAGGGAGGCCCCAGGCAGCCTGGGAGTCAGGTGTCATCCTGTTGGTGACCCATGGGTCACAGGTGGGAACCCGAGACCCCCAGGGCCCAGACATGAGGCCTGAGGCAGGACATCACCACCTGCCCCCAGAGGGGGTTTCTGCCACAGGAAGGCGGCCAGGGACCCCAGCAGAAGGGGAGCAGGCAGCTTGGACTGGGGGCAGGGTGGAGATCCTGTCCCTGTGAGTCCTGCAGAGAGGGGACACGCAGCGCTGAGTTCAGACTCAGCCCCCCGTGCATTGTGTGGACAGCAGGAGGCCCAGTGGCAGCTGTCAGGACAATTGCTAGGATCGGTCTGGGCTTAGTATAGAATCTTCCAGAAGTCCTGTGGCCCCATGTGACTGGCCAGACAGGAGCTGAGGATGGTGACAGCCCTCACCTGAGATGGCATGTTTTCACGTAGGACACTGCTATCAGGCCACGGCAGCATGTCTGTCCACTGGATATGAGTGAGACATGTGCTCAGTGATGCCAAAGCTGTGTTAGAGCCCTTCCAGAAAGTCCTGCACAGGAGACGCCTTTGTTTGAGAGGCCAGCCAGGACATCCAGCTACCGTGAATATGGCCTCCCTGCACACGCGTGTCTCTGCCGTCCATCCACGTAACAGAAATCTGTGTGAGCTGAACTAGGTGCCAGGAGCAAGCAGTGGCCAGTGCCATGAGAAAATTCAGCCTCTGACCCATCAGCCAACACGACCAGCCGTGACGTGTCCACCTCCCCTTCCCCACACACCCCTCCCACCTCCCCCATCCTTGTTTCTCCAGCTCCATGTCCTTTTCCTGACAATCCACTCCAGGGCAGCCCCCCACCCCACCTGAGACCCCTCACCACCACCAGGCCGGCCTCAGAGGCCAGACTTCCGTGTCCAGCATTCCTGCCACCCTCTCAGGAAAGGGACGTCTATATTCCGGAGGCTTAGCCACACAGTGGAGGAAGGCAGTCCACGGACTAACAGCCTTTACCCCTTCGGGAACCTTGGGAACCATGAAGAGCTAAAGCAATTTCAAACCACAGTGAAATCTGACTTCATGTTTCCCATGCCTGAGACACCTGCTATGTGTCTGGCACTGGAAAGGGCATGTCCTCTACACTGGCCAGCACCTTGCAGAGTGCCCAACACAGCCTCGACCCGTGACTTACCCTCCCCAAACCCAGGAGGCGCTATCATAGCCCCAAGCGATCCACTGGAGAGCCAAGCACACTGAAGTCCAGCAGCTGCATGGCTGGTCAGTCTATTCACTGGTGTAGCGGGCAGGATTCTAGATTCTGCAGAAACTGTGAATATGATATCATCCCCATGCTTAGGTCAAGCCACAGGGGAAAGGGGGTTTGCATCCACAGCAGGCCTGACCTCATCAGGCAGGCCCCTGAAAGACCATGTAGGGGTGAAAGTCAGGGACTCACCGCAGCAGGAGCCCTTCAGGTGGCCGTGAAGAAGCCAACTGCTTGTTGACCGAGGGCCCACGGCAAGGACCCGAGGGCAGCCTCCAGCAGCCGAACGCGCGGCTCACAGCTGGCAGCCAGCCGCAACACAGGAACCTTGCTCATGCACGGCACGAAATGAACTCTGCTAATGACCTGGGTTCACTTGGGAGTGAGCCTTCCCTCACTGAACTTCCAAGTGAGGTCACAGTCAGGTCGCACACTGATCTCTGGGTGTGAGGCCCCGAGCAGAGGACCCAGGCTAATGGGCTGGGTTCTTGCTCAGCAGGGTCTGTGGGATGGTAGATCTGGGCTGTTTTCAGCTGTAAGGCATGGGGTCCTGCATTCCACAGCTTAGAGAATGAAGACAGCCCCGCTCGGCGGAGCATGCTGGCTGAGACCCTGCTGCAGGGCCCTGGAGCTCACATCGTTCGTGAAACAGAGCCCCTTGTCCCCACAGGCTCAGCTGCAGACCTCTGTAAGATGGCCATGATCCGTGTCTTCACCGCCGTGGCCGCTTCCCCTACCCTGACGGCCAGGTCAGTGAGTGAGTGGCCACTTACCCAGCCTGACCCCTAACCCTGAGAAGGGCTCAGGTGGGAGGCCTGTGGTTCTGTGGGTCGACACCGTGGCTGGGCCACGCGCATGCACCTCCCAGGAGCAAAGCAATGCCTTGCACTTTCCATGAACCCCAAAGAGAGGGGCCCCCCAAGCCTGGATTCCTCTCAGCACTCCCAGAGCAGCGCCTGCCTCCCAGCTTGGGCTGAGCGAAGTGCCCAGGGGCTAACTCACGGCCGCTGCAGTAGCAAGGAGCCACCCGCCTGCATGCATGAGGAGGTCTCGCCAGGTTCAGCTGGTGCGGAAATGCGTCTCCCCAGGTGTGTGTGAGCACCCGAGGGCCCAGCCCAAGGTCAGGACATAGACACTCCACACTGCCCTCCACTCTGCCACACACTCCACTCCGCCCCCGGGGCCTGTGGCTGCCACTACCCAGTGTGCTGGAGACCCAGCCCAGCCCACAGAGCCACGGGCTACACTGCCTCCGGTCTACAGCTCTATCCAGTTTCTGTCTCTGCCTCCGTGGCCAAGCATCCAGGAGGCTGGGTGACAAGGAGTCCCTGTCCGGCTCTGCTGGCCCAGCCTCACAGCCGCCCGAGGTCCTGGCACCAGTGCAGGTGGCAGGGGGTGGGTTCTGCTCCAGAACCCTGGGACTCCTTCCTGGCCGCTCCTCTGGAAGTCCCCTAGAGAAGTTAGTGTGTCAGAGCCAGAAGGCCTGACCCCTGCTTAGGCCCCATGCACTTGTGTTTGCCATGCTAGGGGTGGGCTCCGGGCCAGAGCGGGCCTGTTCCTGCAGACGAGCCCTTCCCAGGTGACAGGGCTGGGCGGCTGAGTCTCCAGCTTGTGACCGAGGGTGGGGGGTCACCTGCACAGCAGGACCCTCTCCATCTGAGTTCCATCTTGGCTTTGATACTGTTCTACTTCTCAAGGTGTGATTTCCATCCTTATCTGAGGTCCTTCATCTTTCCTTAAAAAGGCTCTCCTACTTCACAGATTTCGTATTGTTCATTTTGATATTTGAACCTGGGTTCTTTTGGCAATTCCAGCAATTCTGTGCAGAATTTGCAGTGGGCAAAGGCCCCAGCAGAGACTGTGGGTGGCGTCCTAGTGAAGGACTGGGGACAGGACTGTCCCCAAGCCCCACAGAGCCGCCCAACAGCTTCCTCTACAACCCCTGTCCCAGACACCGCCTCCCACTGACCAACCACCCTCAGGAGGGGGCCTCTGTGGCCGCCAGCCTGGGCCTGGGGAGGAGAGAGGGCGGGCGGGGGTCAGATCTGTTGCTCTCAGTTTCCTGGCCTTGCACAGGGGTCTGGGCTGTGTCTCTGGTTTCTGCCACCACTGGGCAGGGGCGGGGGTGTAGGGTGTGAAAGCAGAATGGGAAATCTTTCCTCTTGGTTTCTCCTGCTCCATGTCCATCTGCTCCCCCCGCCCTCCGCACACCAGTGAGTGCTGGGCCTCCAGTCCCCTGCCCCTCAGGCTCCCTGGTATGCTTTCCACAGGGTCCATTTCAGAAGGGGCTGGAGCGGCCTGTGTAGCTCACCACCTTGGCCGGAACCGAAGGCTGCAGGGTAGTTCTGCCTGTGTGACATCGTAGTCCAGAGACATCTGATCCATTTGGGCATTTTGTGGGATTGATAAAGGAAGATGATCCATGAGCACTCGGGATCTTCTTCGAGGAGTCCAGAGCTCAGCACAAATGGTTCTCACTCCGGTTTGGCACCCCGCTGCCCCCTCTCAGGCTTCACTGTCTCTGGGAAAAGCTTCCCATAGCAGACAGGATGTGTTAGAACATGAAGCGGTTCAGTGTGGAGTCTGGGGCCTTTCCCACTCTGCTCTGTTCTTCCCGGAGCAACAGGAGAAGTTTTGGGCCGAGGTTAGAATAAGCCACATGTGAGGACACGAGATGCATCACCAGAGGCTTGTGGTTGTGCAAAGTGGAGCAAGTGCCCAGAGAGCCTTCTCCAGTTGTCCCCAGGCCCCTGGGGCCTGCAGTCTTGGGCCCAGAGCAAGAAGGCCTCCGAACTTCCCACTGCCAGTTGTTGGCAGAGCCCTCAGCTCTCAGGGATCCTGTCTCGGCCTCTCAGGACATGGGGCCTCTGTGAAAAGGCCTTTCTAAGATTCAGAACACATCAGAGCCAGAAAGAAGCTTCAGAGACGTTGAGTATAGACAAAGGGAAACCGAGGCCCAGAGCCTACTCATGTCCAAGACTGTGCAGAGCTGGACCAGCTCTGGGCCTCCCCACCTGAGCCACAGAGCTGCCCCTTCTGCTCCTGCTGTGCCCCTGCCCCTGCCACCGAGAGGCCTGGGAGAGCCACCCAGTTCTCCTGCTCTGGACCTCTGGATGGAGGCCGCCTCAAGACCCTCCCCCGCTCCCTTGCCCTTGGGTACAGGGACTGTCGGTAAGATGTGGAAGACAGGGCCATCTCCTGGCCACCAGGGGTGCCCTCTGACCTCCGGTCACCTGGCCAGGCGTGGCTCACCACCATGGGGCACGACACCATCTCCCGGCCTCAGGAATGAGCAGAGAAGATGTCGGGGGTCCAGGAGAGGCAAGAGACTCAGCCACGCAGTGGGGAGCAGCCTGGATGAGCCTGGGCTCTGTGAGCTGGCCGGGCAGCAATGGGGCTGTTCCTGACGCTGGGAGGGGCCACGCAGGAAGGCTGCTGGTGGTGACAGGCTGTTGACAGGGCCAGGGTGTCGTGCCGGGAGGCCGGGCTCTGCTGCAGCCCTCATTCACAGGAGCGTCGAGAGGACAGCGGGACAGCGGGCAGCCACTGCTCGGAAACAGCGGGGTCTGACCCACACGCTCAGCTACCCCACACGGGTGTGTCTCTGTGTCTTTGTGCCCCAGTTTCCAGCTGGAAGTCCAGGAATGTAGCTGGCAGCTGTGGGAGCGGTGTGTAAGTGACTAACGACTCAGGCCTATTCTTAGGTCGCTGCCACACTGGCGGCTCAGAACTCACGGCGTCACTTCAAGAAGTGTGAACTGTGCTGCTGCTAAACCTGAAAGTTTCTGCCCCTTCAACACGAAGATCCCACGGGAGCGGAGGTCCCACCGTCTTGCCCCCAACCTGTTCTGGCTTCTAGAGGGCGGCCTGGAGGTCGGGCAAATCCTCTCCCCGCAGGCAGAGGACGGGAGGAAGCTCTGTGGGCCCCTGCGGGCAGCGCTCACTTCTGCTCCGCGATAGGAAGAGCGGCTCCCTCTCCCAGGTGGGCTTGCAGTCCAGGGGACCACCATCCTGGGGGACCTCTGCGCACCTCTCCAGCCCAGCTTTCCTAGTGTCTCTGCCTGCCACCTCGTTCCTCCCACACCGCGTCTGCAAAGTGACAAGGTTCGGACGTGGCCTCTGACCTCAAAGGCCCAGTCCTGGGCTCAGCAAGTCACACAAAGGGCAGAGTACACAGGTCCCACCCTCCGACATTCCCTGTGGGTTCATCTGCACCACGCCTCCCCTCCCTGAGTGCACAGGGCAAGCCACCTTCCTCCGTCCCAGGCCACAGCCCCCTGCAGGCATCATCCTCCCAGAGCACCTATGCCAGCCCAGACCCCACCTTCCACAGAACGTGCGCCCCTGCTGGCCCCTGGCACTTGACCTAAAGCCCTCCCAAGGCCCCTGAGCAGGGATGTGCTGAGGTCCACCGGCCTCCACTTTGTGGGGAGATGTTTGCATCCTGTCCTGCTGGGTGTCCCACGCCCCACCCAGTCACATGGTCTGGAGCGCCCTGTGTCACAGGCTTCCGTAGTGGCCACGCGAGGCCACAGCTCAGGGTGTTCCCCGCCCCCGCCATGTCTTGTAGGCTGGTCGCCCAGCTTCACGACGAGCTGCTATTTGAGGTTGAAGAGCCACAGGTTCCTGAGTTTGCAGGTGAGCTGGCCACACACAGCACCTTCCACTTCTCAGAAAGCTAACACCACTCTGGCTGCCCCTCCCTGCCCCGTGCTGAGTGAACCTGCCCCACCCTGGCCACGCCCCAGTTCTCCCTGTGCGGCCTGCCTCAGCATCAGGGCTCCTAGATAATGCGGACTCCCCTTCTGGACTTGCTGGCTTTGTGGCCCTTCGTCCCAGACTGCGGACTCCATCCTACCGTGGGGACTGCCTCTCTTGGTGGGGTGGTTCCCTGCATAGCTGGTATTTCCCCAGTTGGGGGAGGGGCCAGGGTCCCGCCTCCACCCTTAGGAAGCACCTGGACACCACTGCACTCCCCAGTGTGGCCCAGGCTGGTGGTGGGGGGCATGCTTCCCTCCCAGGGACCCAGCAACCCTCTGACCCAACCTCCTGCCCCCCCCCCCCCCACAACCATCTACACAGCACAGAGAAGGAAACAAGGTCATGGAGCTCAGGTGCACGGCCCTCAGTAGCCACTGGCCCACTCCAGGCACCCAGAGACGGGTCCCCAAGGAGCTGGCCCATTAAGCCCGCAGCCAGAGAGGGGAGAACTACTCCTTCAAGGGGTCTTTCTGTCACAATCTTTGTATCAAAAATTGTAGATAACTTAGTAGAATGGAATGAAATATTTGTTGATCAAAGAGACAAAGTGTTCTGAGCAAACTCAGAGAAACACTGAGCCAGCAGACCCCTCCCTTGCCTGGGCTGCTCCCTGTCTCAGGGCTAGAGGGCAACTGAGGCCACACGGCCGGCCCAGCCCACCAGCACCACACAGCTGACCTTCCAGGATTTACCATCACATGCAAGTTCATGGGTATTTGATGGGAGCATGGGTCCGCCTGCCCACGCTGTGCCAGCCAGGATGGCCCAACGTTCCCTCCTCCTCCCAGCCCCAAAGCCTCTGGACAGAGCTAGAGGCCCCCAGCACCCCCCACTGCCCAGGCCCCCACTGGCTGAGCCTGGGGCTGGGGGGAATTGCTCAGCAACCACGGCTGGGGCAGCTGAGGTGCCATCAGGCTTGTGCTGGGCGTGTGGCCAGTGGCACCAGCCACAGGTGATGAAAGGGCTGCTGGACCCACCGGCGTGGCTGGCCGTGTGGACTCAGGGAATAACTGCAGAGCCTGGGGGCCAGGACAGGGCTGGGACCTGGGCATTCCCATGATAGCCCCATCTCTGTCCAGAGGGCTTAGGGCTGCCCCTCTCCCCCTCTTCCCTCTGTTCCAGCTCTAGTCAGGGGGACCATGGAGGCCCTGCGGGATGTGCCGGCCTTGCAGCTGCAGGTGAGGGGAAAGGGGCGGGGAGGCAGGCGGGTCCCACGCAGCTCTGCAGGCTCCCTCCAACTGGCCACTCGCGGCCAGTGCCTACCAGACCGGAGAGTTGAGTCCAGCTCCCAGGGGACCAAGAGATGGGATGGAGGGCACAGGCAGCCCCCGAGCCTCCAGAGTGCTGCCCCCCTCCACTGCCCTGTGGTTCCCGGAGGCCCAACCCCCACCTTCAGTCCTGCAGGGAACAGAGCTGGCAGGGGACCGCAGCAACTGGCAGCCCCCGTCCTCCCTCCCTGTCGAGAGGGAGCTGTTGCACAATGGTCCAGGGCCTTGGCAAGTTCCCACTCAGGGTTAGGGTCCCTGGGAGGGCTCCCCCAGACCCCGTTTGGCATCTCTCTCCTAAGGCACCTGCAGGCCTGCTCCCTGGCAGAGGCCTGGGCAGGTCAGCTGAGCAGCTCAGCCACGGTTGGGGTATTAGGGTCTGGGGGTGCTTGTCTGCCTGTCCCTGTGAGTGTGTGGCTGTGTCGAATCATGTCTTCGGGCCAAGTGGCTGCCTGGCGCTGGGACCCCTGCCCACCTGGGGGAAGGGAGAGCCTGGAACTGGAACTGACCGCCGCTGCTACCCACAGGTGCCCCTGAAGGTGAGCCTGAGTGCTGGCCAGTCATGGGGCCACCTGGTGCCACTGCAGGAGGGCCCCGGGCCCTTGGCCCAGCCCATGTCCCACTGAGTCTCCAAGCAACCACCCTGCCACCGCCAGCCCCCTTGTCAGCACCTACCCCGTGCGTGCATTTTTCGCCTTCATTTTGTCTGTAGCCCCAGGCAACAGTGGGAGGAGAGAACTGGTTTCCACCAGTCCATTGTGTGGCCTTCCCCAAGGTCAGCACTGGGCGCTTTGCATGGGCTCCCAGTGAGAGCCGGTGGTAGAGAGGGCCACATCCACCCCCTGGGCTGTCCCCCGGAGTAAAAGCCTTTTCAAAGCAGGCCGAATCTCTGTGAAATGAATTCTTCTGGTGGATGGGAGATGCCATGCCCACACCCCTGATCCACTCTGCTTGGCCCAGAGCTGAGTGGCTGAGACAGGAGCGGCCTGCCCGACCCACAGAGGGGGCTCCCGGCCCTTCTCCCACAGAGCCCGGGCTGCATTCCACCAGGTCCACAGCTGCTCAGCACTTAGCCGGTGCCCCAGGAGCTGCCAGCAGCCTGGAGGCCCTCCCTGCCAGCCAGAGCTCCCCGAAGCCAGGGAGAGCCCCTTCCTCCCAGGCCTCGCTGACAGCCACCAAGGTGCAGAGAACAAGCACAGAGAGGCGGGCATGGGTTCTGTGCTGTTAGCTGGGGGCAGGCCGTCCAGGCCTCTGGAGTGAGTGCTCCTGGGTGCCCCCAGCCTTCCCACGAACCTCCTGCTGGCCTGACCAGTCCCTGGGAGCCAGCCAGCTCTCCGACTCTCCTCTCAAAGTGGCTCTCCCAGACCATGCACCCCAACAGCCTCACGGTGGCTCCCCTTGCACAGTGGGGACACGGAGGGACAGAAAATTTACATCATTGTACAAGCCCACTTGGGTAGTCGGTGCCCAGCCATTCCTGCACCTCTGCTCAGCTGCCTCCCCTGCACAGCCCTGCAAAGGTCCCCTGTGGGTCCGGCCTCCAGGTCATCCAGGCACCCCAGGGTCTCCTCTCCTGCGTGCCTCCCTGTCTGGGTTCTGAGGACCCGCGCAGCACCTGTTGGGCTGGGGGACATGTGCGAGGCACCCCCTCCAGCAGGCACCAGAGCTGCTCAGGTAGGCGGTAGCTGGGCTTTAGCCTCCTGTGCCAAGCCCACTTCTCTGCTTACTGTGCCCAGCCCTACTTTTCTCGTGGCCTCAAGGTATTGTCACTGTCTTCATGGGCTGCATGAGCATCTGTATGGCCATGCCTGACCACTATGTGATGGAGCGTTCTAGAATCTGGAGAGCTGGACCCCTCCATGCCAGCCGTGGGCGTGTGTTGCAGGTCCCTGTGCCCGTGTACGTGTGGGTGGCCTTGCCTACAAGGGGCCTGTCTTCATGTGGTCAGTTCAGAGACACAGCCACTGCTGGGCTGCACACTAGCCCCAGGCTGATGTCCAAACACAGCTCGTGCCCCCCAGTAGTGAGGGTCAGAGTGAGCTGCCCGCAGAAGCCAGCCCCCACAGGCTGCAAGGCCACAGACGTTGCTTTCAGTGATCCTAGGGCCTGCCCAAAGCCCTCCCTGCAGCAGGAGGCCAACCCTGGGGATGGGATGAGCAGAGGCTGTTCCTCCCACAATGGAAAGGCCCCCGCGGGGAGCTGTCTGGGGCTGGACAACACCTCACTGTCCCCAGCACCACCCCCCATGTCATCTTCCCTCACAGACCTCAGGAGGGAGGTGGGCCTGCCGCCATTGCCTGGGCCCCTCAGACCTGAGTTGCTCCCTGGAGGTGCCAAGTGGGCAGGTGAAGCCCGGCCAAGGTGGCCAGCACAGGGCTAGAGGCCTCGGCTCCAGAGGGCACCCCGGCACCCACACCTGCCCCCGAGGAGGAGCCCAGCATCTCCAGAAAAGCAGCCCTTCCTGGCCAAGTGCCAGGCGAGGGCGCTTCAAGAACTCACAGGAGTCCAATTCCGACAACTCTGGTTTTATTGAAAAACATCAGCACTGGGGGCCGAGTAGGCAGCCGGGCCCACAGCAACCCCCCACCCCCGCCACTGCTCACACACCCACAGGAAGCCGGAGACCCCCACCCCGCCCTGGCCCCGTGGCCTGTCTCCTCCGCCCCTCTGGAGGGTTCTGGCATACCCAGGGGTCTCAGGACAGTTGCCGCAATCGTGGGCTCATTGACAGTAAGACACAGGAAGTGTACCCCACCACCATGACCCGATCTGCGCTCTGCTCACCCAAAGACACAGCGTCTGCAGCAGCTGTGGTCCAACAGCCTGACCCAGGGGACACCGCGTCATCATGTGTGATCTAGGCTGGTCTGGCTGAGTGTGCACCCCCTGCCAGCCCCCCTACACACCCAGAGACCCAGGCAAAGGCTCATCCCGGGCCCCCCACTTCCCACAGACCTGTCCAGCGCCCTCCACGGGGGGTGGGGGGCACTACATTCAAGGTCCCCTGGGCCCTGGGGCAGGCCTGGGAGAAGGAAGCACAGCACCCAGCTGGAACCCTGCCGTTCAGCATGGGGCTGAGCGCTGGCCCATGTGTGCAGCAGCAGGAGGTCCCCTCCCTGTCACCACGTACTTACACTCACGTGCACACATGTGCAGGTGCACACAGGCATGTGTGCACACGCGCACACAGCACACATACACGTGTGTGCGCACGTGCATGGTGCACACACACACAGGCACGCACACACAGACACACCCCTTCTTCAAAATGGCTAATTATTGCTGTTAAAAAAAAATACATCCAACAATGACAGGTTGGGGTCCCTCCTCCCCCACCCCAGGCCCTGGGCTGCCCCACCCACGGCACCAAAGAGCAAACATTCCAGGATCTGCCCCACACCCAGTCCAGAACACAAGCCCCTGAAGGCCTCAGCCAAAGGCCCACCAGCACAGGAACACCGGCTGTGGCCAAAACAGTCATGAAAGCAGCTTCAAATGGACACAGGGTCCATGTTGCCCACCTGCTGGGGAGGGGGGCCGGGCTCCCAAGACTCGAGGACCACTGTCAGCCATTCCCTGGACACAGACAGGGGGGTGGCTCTGCTGCTTAGCCCCTGACTTGGTCCCAGCCCAGCGAGAGGCCCAGGCTCAAAGCCACATAGGGCAGGCAGAGCAGGCAGGGGCAGGCCAGGGACGGGCAGAGGCGGGCCACAGCAGGCCAGGGCGGGCAGGGGCAGGCTAGGGCAGACAGGGGCAGGACAGGGCGGGCAGGGGCAGGCCAGGGTGGCAGGGGCAGGCAGGGGCAGGCAGGGACAGGGCAGGGTGGGCAGGGACAGTCAGGAGCGGGCCAGGGGGCAGGGGCAGGTAGGGGTGGGCACTCACACTGCCAGCATGACTCGCTGTGGCCCAAGAGCCTCCCGAGCACTTGCCAGATTCCCAAGGAAGCCATGTGAAGAGCAGCCCCCAGCCTGTCCCCTGGAAAGGTCTTTTCTGAGGAAGGACACCCAGGCCAGAATGGGGGCTGTCCAAGGACCTCGTGTCCTCAGCCCAGCTCTAGGGCCACTCCCCGCTTCCTTGAGACAGGCTGGCCCATCTCTCTGCCCTATTCACCCAAGGGGAGCAATGGGAGGCCTGGCTAGATGCGGGTACAGGGGAGAGGGGAACAACCTCGGCACCCACAGACAACCCCAGCTCTCCTCAGACCCCGTCCCTGGGCAGTGGGTGCTGCTCCAGGAACACTGGTGACGCTGGGCCATCCCGAGAGGCTAGAGGTCTCAGCTGCCCTGCATCCCACTGCCCCGAGCTGCCCACTGGGCTTGTGTTCCAGGCTCATCCAACAAAAACATTCTGGAACACTCCACCCCCCGCTTTCCCATCCAAAAACAGAGGCTTCCAAAAGTCCTAGGAGCCTTGTCTCCTGAGCATGGGGGCCATGCCTGGGGGCCTGCTTTCTCAAGGCCTCAGCAGGAGCCACTGGGGGAGGCCCAGGAGGCCAGCGGTGGGTGGGGTGGGGGGGGGGGGCAGGGCCTGCCAGTGCAGAGAGCTGCCCAGACACACCACTGAGTGGAAACCCAGGCAGGTGCTTCACAGAGGTAGAAGTAGTAACATCAGAATTTCTACAAATGTATAAAATTCACATCTCAGTGCACGTTTGTGGAGGAGTTAGCTCCCAGGCTGGAGGGAAGTGGCCAGCCAGGGATAGGCATCCCCCACGAGTGTGCCCAGCCTCTGGCCCCGGGAAAGGATGGGGGATCTGCTCCCCTGGTGATCTTGGGGGCTGCCAAGCTGCACACGGGCCAGGCAAAGGCCCTGTCCCAAGCACAGGGTGCACCCAGCCGGTGCCACAGGCCACCCTGGGCCACCAGACTGGGAAAGACACTGCAGCCCCCCACCCCACCAGAACATAGATCCTACATGAACAGACAGACACCAGTAGGACAGGGGAGGGCCACATGACTGCCCAGGAGCAACTGGGGCCACGTGCTTTGGCCAATGTCACCCAGATGCTGGCAGCTCCAGCTCCCATCCACATGTCCCCACACCAGGGACCCCAGGCTCCAAAGGCACAGGATCAATGGAAGCCGCAGCACCCCCAGGCTCCCACTGACAAGACACTGCCCACCAGGCTGGGCCCACGTAGCACCCACCTGTCCTACCTGCCCCACCAGGCCTCAGACCAGCCGCAGCCCCCAACACGCCCAACGCCAGCCAAGGCCACCCCAAGCCAAAACCAAACTAAACAGAAAGAGGAAAAAGGCACAACTGTTTGTTTTCCATTTTGCTAAAACACTTTACGTCTGTCTGTATAATCCAGATTAACAAAATCTGAGAGCTGCAAGAAAATAGGGTGCCGATTTCTGTACAGTCTACAAAACCCCCGTCCCCAAGCAGGGACCGGACGCCACCAGGGAGAAATGTACAGGGGAGAGCAGGGTCTGTACAATGTTCTACGAATATCTCATTTGCAGACAGCAAGAAAGGCCCCTCGGGACACTGGGCTCGCTTCACGCATTTGCTTGTTCCCGAAGCGCCTGAGAATGTCCCCTCTGTGTCCCCTACGTGGGACCCAGCCGCATGGCCCACTGTGCCTGCCACTCCCCCTCTCCCAGCTCCCGAAATAGAGGGGCCTCAGTGGGCACCAACGGCCCTCCTGCCACCACGGTCAGGTCCAGGCTCACAAGCTGGACACGTGGCCACTTCCAACGACCCCGTTCCTCCACCCACCCAGGCCACCCCACACCTGACCACCACCTCCCACCCCAAAAGGAGAGGCCAGGAGCACGGCCACGCTGCCACGCCTGCCCCCCGGCCAAGGTGGACAGCACTCACTCCTCCCAGGGTCAGCAGGGAAATTGCCGCCATTGCTGACCTATGTCCCACAAGTCGAGGCTGGACGGGGGCAGCCCAGAGCCTCCTCACAGACCAGAAATGCTCTTTGAGGGAAAGAATGCTAAGTCAGGGTCTCGCTCCAGATTTCAAAATCTGAAACCCTCTACCCACCCAGCCACCCGCCCCCACCAAACTGGGCCAGAAATAGTGCATATTCTAGACCACACAGGTGTGTGTGTGTGCGCGCGCGCGTGTGTTAAGGTATCAACTACCATTTTGTCCCAAGAATTAAAGTCATGCAGAATGCTATTCTGTCTAAATAACTTATTAAAAAATAGGTCGGTTTCAGGCTGGGAGAAGCTGTGGGCTCAGTGGTGTGGCCAGCGGCCTGGCTTAGGAAGATTCACAGGGCAGAGCCCATGAGCCGTGAGGCAGAGCGGTCCTCGGGGAGGTCCGGGAAAGGCCACCATCATCCAGCTGGGCCTGGGGGGAGGCGACTGCACCACTGCGTCCCCACCCTGCTCTCCTGAAGGACCCTGACCAGGCTGGGCCACAGGTGACTGTGGGGACCACACCGGGATGATGATGCCATCAGTGAAGCCCAGGTGGGGGAGGGGCAGGGACCAAAAGGAAAGAAACGTGACTCGGTGTCAAAGCAGAGCTGGGATGGGGGCAGCAGGGGTGGTGAGAGGCGGGTGAGCCCTCCCGAGCGCAGGTGGGCGGCCACGGCTGGCTGGCAGGCTGGGCGGGGGCACTGCCCGGTGTCGGCCCAGGCTGAGCGGGGCGGTGGGGCAGAGGGCCGTGGGCATGCGGCAGCCAGGCCATGTCCTCAGCATGCACGGAGCGAAGCGGGGCCTGTGGCCAGCTCGGTGCCCCGAGGGCCAGTGGCCGGCCAGCCCAGTAGGTCTGGCCTCCCGGGACCATAGCCTGGCTGGCAGCCAGGGATCCGCCGGGTGGGGGCCGTGCCACAGAGGCTCTGTGCTCGGTGGGCCTGGAGGGGTCCCACGTGCAGGCTGAGCAGCCACGTGGGCCCATGGCGGTCCATGCTGTCACTCTTCAGGACGCAGCCCCAGCAGGCTGGGGGGGGCGGGGGGCGAGGGGCCAGGGCTACACACAACCAGTCCCGAGAGTGTCACAGAGGAGCCGCGGCCCCTCGCCCCCCAGAAAGCCAGCCGGAGAACCGCGTGATGGTGGAAAGGAAACACCCACCACAAACGCCAAGGGGAGCGCCTGCAAGCGGGCCCGGGTGGTGGGCAGGCGGGCACGGGCGGACGGGGTGGCCGGGCGGCAGGTGGGCGGCGGGCGGGCAGGCAATGCTCACTCCTCGCGCAGCTGCAGGCGGTAGCGATGGTAGCGGACCTGGAAGAAGAGGCGCTCGGCCAGCGACAGGGTCATGCCGGGCAACACGTAGTGGTCACTCGAGCCCATGTGTCTGAAGCCCAGCGACTCGTAGAGCTTGTGTGCAGCCACCTTGACGGCCGTTGTGCCCAAAACCACCGCCGAGTAGTTGTGAACGAGCGCGAACTCCAGCACCTTGCGGCCCAGCGCCTTGGCGATGCCCTTGCCACGGAAACGTGAGTCCACGGACATACGCAGCAGCTCCACCGTGTTGTCTGCCTCGTGGGCCCGTGCCGCCACGATGCCCACCACGTTGCCGTCCAGCACAGCCACCCAGAAGCAGGAGCCTGCAGGGACATGGCAGTCAGGGCTGCGGCATGACAAAGCCGCCCCTCCAAGGCCCTCGGTGCAGAAAGAGCTGGGCCCAACCTGCCTGTCATCCACAGAGGCCCCTGCCCTGGGCCTGAAGCCAGGCAGACAAGAACTCCAGGGCCAGAGTCCCTCCCTCAGTGGCCGAGAGCTGGGCAACCCTCAGCCATGCAGACCCCTCCTCTGCCCAGCTACCCCTGAGCAGATGCCTGGATGGGCAGTGGATGGCCACGGACAGGCCCTGGCTCCCAGCCACTCGGGGTCCACCACACTTGTCCCCATGCATCTATACCAAGGAGCTAGAGAGAGGTGCCACGAGCAGACCTCCAGAAGGACCCCGACAATGGAGACTTCGGGGGGCCTGGGAGGACAGGCCAGAGCAGCAGGATCCCTCTGGGAGCCATGCCCTAGGGGCTTCAGGAGGTCCTGTGGCCACCACACTCCTGGGTTAGGAGGAGCCTGGGAGCCCCGTGGCCTGCTTGGATCGGGGCACAGAAGCAGGCCCTTGGCAGGCTCCGAGGACGGTCCAAGTGGAGAACTGGAACGGATGGGCACCACTGCATACCTCCCACTGACCCTGGCCTCTCCTGGGCAGGAGTCCAGTGGCCAGGCCAGCTGTCCCCACCCATGGCCTGGACCAATCACAGCCCCACACACAGGGCAGGGAGAGGAAGAGGATGGCCAAAGGGGGATCAGAAGAGAAGCAAGAAGAGAGAGAATGAAAGTGGGTGGGGAGGCCTGCAGGGCATGAGAGTCTGATCACCTCTGCTGACCATCGGCCCAGGGGCCCCAGGAGCAGAGGCTGGCCAACAGGGGTGCTACACTCGCCCTTCCCACAGCCACTCCAACCCCCACAGAAGTGTTTGCCACCAACCACCCCCACCTGCTCTCCTTAAGCTGCCATACTCTCCCCCATCAAGGTTCTACACCTGACCTTGCCCCTCCACCCAACCCCCAAGGGTCCCCCACTGTCCTGTCTGCCGTCATCAGCTAGGCAGGAGGGGCCCTTGTCCCCTTCACCACCATACCTGGAGACCTGGCATTCACCCCGAGCTCGGCAGTGGCTGAGGGCCTGCTGCCCCAATGGACCCCCCCGATAGCTGGCCTGCCCTCCATCCAGGGTTTCTGGCTCCCCTCACACACTTAGGCCAGACCAAGTCTTCCCACCCTGAGCAGCCTGGCCCTGGCCACTGCGGTCCAGCCTCCCTGCTTCAGTGGAATCTTCCTGCAACCTAGCAGGCGTCCCAGGAGGGCGAGCGCCACCCCACACCCAGGGAGACTGCAGCCCCGGAAGAGCAGGGTCCTCATGCTGCCCCTGGCCCCCACCCTGAGCCCCCTTCTGCTTCAGCAGCCTGGACCTGGGCACCAGTGAGATGGGGCTGGCCTCGCGCTCCCTCCTGTCCCTGGCAACTCCATGGAGACTGATAAGCTGAGTTCAAGCTTATGAGAGGGTTGAAGAGAACCCAAGGTGCCAAAGCCTGGCAGCGGTGGGAATGGGAGGGCAGGCAGGGTACCACAGGATGGGCCTGCTCACTGGGAGCCAGCAGGCATGGGAGCCGGCAGTGCCAAGGTGGGGCACCCCTGCACTGGTATGCCATGCCTCTCTTATCTCCCACTGCCCTTCTGTGCCCCTAAGCAGGCTCCTCTATGCCCTCACCAACTGCTGGGGCCCACACTGTTCCATTTCCCCAGCCTGGGAACCCTCCGGCACCTGAGACACCCTCATATCCCAGAGGGCAGAGACAAAGCCTCCCTTCTCTGGCTCCGGACGTGAAGGAAACCCTGGGGTCTGGCCTCCTAGGACCTGGCCTGCCTTGGGCTCAGCCTGGACAACCGGAACAGCCCCCAAGGAGCTGCAGGCAGCTCCAGACCAGACCCAGCCCCTCCTTGTACAGAAGGTCAGGGCGCTGGGCCGAGACCCTCTGCCTCACTGAGTGGTCCCGAGACCAGAAGTGGGGACTCAACACCCCTGCTCTTCCAGGGCTCCCAGCCCTCAGAGACCCCCCAGAACCCTCTCCCCACCAGGAAGCCCTCTGCGCCTTGCACTCCAGGCCAGCCCGACCCCTGGCAAAGCATGGCAGACCCCGGCCCCTCGGCGAGCTCTGGGGAAGCGCATCGTGCAATCAGCACGGAGAGCAGAGCCGGGACACGTGGCAGCCCCCCTTCCCAGGATGCAGGACAGAGGCCCAGGGTCTGTCTGGGTGCACACTCAGGGGCCTTGCCTCAGCACCCAGGACCTAGCTCTGCCAACACCCCCGCCCCCCGGCCCTGCCTGCCTGCTGCACTCCCAACCCGCAGCCAGAGCTCTCCCTGACTCCGAAGGCAAGTCCCAGGGGTGCAGCAGCCTGGGCCCACCCAGGCCTGGCCATCCCCCCTCACCCCTGCCCCCCGGGGCCTGTCTGTCCGAGGTGCTTGGGGTTAGGGCAGCCCCCCAGCAAGAGGGGCTGCTCGAGGGCAAGAGGAGCGAGGGGAGGGGACAGGATGGGGCTGGAGTGGAAGGCTCACCCGGGGGCTTCATGTAGTACTGCTCGATGTCGGCCATGTCCGTGTGCAGGGCGCAGTCCAGGTAAGCCAGGACCACCTTCCGGCTGTAGTAGTAGCGGAGGCCCAGCAGCCCGGCGGGCACCAGGCACGTCAGCAGCAGTGAGCGGGTCAGGGCGAAACACAGCACTGCAGGGGGAGGATGGCCCGGTGAGTGGCGGACACCTGCCCGGCCCACCGGGGGGACCCCTCACCTGCCAGCTCCCTGCTAAATATGCCAGCCAGACACAGGCGCAGAGAGGCCTTGCCAGAGGTGTCATGACTGTCTCCCTGGAGGAGCGCTGGGCCAGCCTGCCTGCTCCTGCTGCTTTGCCCTATTCCCAAACTCGCTACCCTATAGGCAGGCTGATCGGGAGTCTGACATCACAGGACTTCTGAACGTCCTGAGCACAGCAGGGGCCTCTGGGCAGGCTGCCCTCAATGGCCAGGGGCAACAGCCCCAGGCAGGGTTGGGGTGCCGTGCCCACCCCCCATGTGGGCCCCCATCCCTGGAAGGGGCTTCGCATACACCCTTGACACTCTAGCCAGACAGAAGCTCCCAGGCCCCTGCAGGCTGTCTCACCATTGCAAAAGTGGGAGAGGGAAGGGACACCTTCCAGCAGAAGGCCCCAGGACCACCTTCTCCCCAGGGCCAGCACCGGGGTTATGAGGAGGGCCCGGAGGGAGGGGGAGGGAAGCCGGAGATTGTTTCCAGATTCATCAGGGCTGCCAGAGCCCACAAACCTATAGCAAAAGTCACTTTTACTGCATGACCTTGGGAAAGTAACAAGCCCCAGCCTCAAGCTCCTCACCTGTGAAATGGGGACAACCACCCTCCGGGGCTTCGGGAGAAAGGCCTCAAAGCCCCTGCGGGGGCTGTCCCCCCCCCCCCGCCCCCTCACTCTGCCTCCTCGGTGCTCGCCCTCCCCCGGCACCCCGGGGAGCTGGCTGTCTTCCCCTCATAAATTAGCACTTGGAGCAGGCGAGGCAGCCTCCCCCGCCCCGCGGATTATATATAGTTCACGCGCCAGGCGCGGAGCTTCAGCCGCGGGCGCTACCTGCCGCCACCCCGCCCCCACCCGCGATGACCCGGGAAGGGACCGGGCCGGCGGGGCCGCACAGAATGGGGACGCGGGCGGCGACCCCGGCCCTCTCCCGGCCCGCAGCCCCCTCCCCTCCGCCGGCGCTTGTTCCCACGCCCCCGCCCGGCGCGCCTTGGCCGGGAGCCCGGACGCCACCACCGGTGGCCACCTCGCCCCAGGCCGCTGCAGAAAACCGGTGGCGCGCGGGTGCGCGTCGGGGCACGAGCGAGGGGGCCCCCCCGAGGGGGCCCGCTTCCCTCCCAGGCCGAGTCCCGGACGGGCACGGGAGCGCTGCCAGGCCCGGGTCCCGAGGTGGGGCGAGCGGGGCCGAGGGCGCCCGGCGCAACTGTTCCCGGAGGGGCCGGGCGGAGCGCGCCGGGGCCCCCCGCGCACTGACCGGCCAGCAGGGCGTAGAGCAGCTGTGTGCGCGGGTGCTGCCGCAGGCCGCGGAAGGCCGTGTTGGGGATGCGCTCCATGATGCCGTCGTA